CCTTGATAATATCTCTCAAATCAAACAGTGATATGTAATTTATCATGTTGTCATATACTATTATCTTCAGGGATGGGAGCTGAAGTTGGACGAGAAGCCAATGACGACGTTCTAAAACAGGGATAAACACCTGCAATCATAAGTAATAATTCATTTATTTGCGCACTTATTTATGAACACCTTTAAAAAATTTAAAAAATAAACACTAACCTTATCGACCTCCCACCATGCAGGATAAAGTTTAGCTTGTCCATTGCCCAACGAAAATGATTCATCTCGTTGATTCTTCAAGTGAACTGCGTGAAAAGCCGCCGGCATTATTGTATATCGCGAATTTTTTTTATTTTTCCTAAGCTTCCTTATTATTAGAAGACGTGACACCCACGCATCTATATGCTGTTTTACAAAAAAAATACATATATTAGTGAATTACATTAATTTTAAAAAAAAATTAATCAAAATCATATATAAGACAAATATAAGACTTACCTCCCCATCGAAATAGCCACTGTCTTCAACCCCTAATAACACACCCCACCAAGACCGATTAAGCAACAAATACATCTCATCGTTGAGTTTGCTTATGTCAGTGTAACACCCTTGGCTCCGCTCATGTAGATAAAAATTAACTACGGTCTTAGCCCAAAGGGTATTATCCAGAATTGTTTCCGGTAGTTGTCTCCTCTCCACTTCAGATACCGGAAGGGTACTAGCCGGTAACTCATACGAGAGCCAACTCTCATCCATCATGTCCGGCAACGGTGGGGGTTTCTTAATAATTCGATATATTACCCCATGTGAATCGGGCTCTGGAATGGTGGGAGGGACCTCTTCAACGATGACAGTGGCCTCTTGAACGGTGGGGGGGACTCTTGAGGGATGATAGGGGCCTCTTGAACGATTGGAGGGGACTCTTGAGGGATGACAGGTGAGTCAAGCTTCTTCTTGCGGAGTCTTCGCACCATTGGGGTGAACAGAGACGTAATAGCACGTGCACGCCGTCTGATGCGTGAACTCCGTCGTGCAAGGAAAACCCGACGTAAAGCATTCACCTTATCGGGTCGCTAAAAAAATTAATACATAAATCAGTAAATAAACAGACATGATATTAAACAAAGACAAATATGTTTCAAACTTGCATTGTATTCACCCAAGTCATTATTCTATCATAGTTCACAAAATGCATCAGATAACATTTCACAAGTAAGCACTTATATAAACATTTAAAAGGACAACATATATAAACATTCCAGAAGAAGAATAGTTTACTTTCGCAACACGAAACTTACTTTCGCAACGCGAAAATGACTATCGCAACGCGGAAATGGCTATCGCAATGCGAAATGAAAATCGCAATGCAAAATGAAAATTGCAACGACAAAATCGCAATGCGAAATGAAAATCACAACGACAAAATCGCAACGCGAAACACAAATCACATTGCGATTTTCATTTCGTGTTGCGATTTTTTCGTTGTGATTTTCATTTCGCATTGCGATTTTGTCGTTGCGATTTTCATTTCGCATTGCGATAGCCATTTCCGCGTTGCGATAGTCATTTTCGTGTTGCGAAAGTAAACTATTCTTCTTCTGTAAATTGAAACTTGAATGGATTGCATTACTTCAACCAAAAGACAAAAACAAAACTAAAAACAAATACTAACAAAAACAGTTTAGCAGTATTGGCAGCAGCCGAATGAATTTATTAAGCAATCTAAGTGAAATGGTTAATCTAAGTGAAATTACGAGTAAATTTATCATCAAGTTAAATATGAAAAATCTTAAACTTACCTCGTTGCGTAGAGTATGAACCTCATTCTGCAACGATGCTACCATCTCACGTAGAGCGGCTACATCACCGCGTAAAGTAGACACCTCAACACGCCATGCACTATCGTCTTTGCGTAAAGTACTGACCTCCTCGCGCGAGGCATTGACCTCATCACGTAACTCCCCTAACTCATCCCGTGGAGGTGGAGAACAAGGAGATAAACGTCGTGGCATCTTTGCCGGTCGCCTATCTTGCGGTGATGGTGGAGAAGAGGCTCGATGATGTGACAGAATAGGTGATGGATGTCGTTGTGGAGGTGTATAGTCGGGTCGATCAGGTGATGGCTCTGGGTGAGGTGATAGCTCTGGGTGAGGTGATGGCTCCCAAAGTGGAGGCTGCTCATCATCAGGGCCATCAAAAAAATGCTTACTAGCTTGCCACCAATCAGTGGCAAGCTCAGCTTCCGTGGGTGTCAGCCTCTGTAATGGAGTGTTGGCCTCCTAACAATATAAAAGCTCAAACAAAGTTAAACGTGTACTAGTAATAACTTGTTTATAAACATATGGTAGTATTTATGTTAACTTACATTATTTATTGTCGTATACCGTAGTAAATCTTTCCATTGCAAGGTTCGTTTCCTCTTCCAGGAAATAGCCCTGGGAATATCATTTGAAGTTTTTATTGCATATGTCTTCATGGCGGGAAAGGCCTCAAATATCCAAATCTACAAACAATATAATAACAAACATTAGTAATTGTTAAATAATTACTTATAATTTTGGAAACATTATATAAAAATTCTTACCTTAAAGGCCCAAATAAAGCCTGTCAAAGTGTATTTGGAACCATCGCCATGCAAACTTTTTCGATCATCCAAGGCAGACGATAACTTATTCCATGTAGCTTTCCATAAATACGAGCCCCATGGAAACAGGTTCCACGCATTTAGGTCTTCTACCAATTTGATTAGATCATTCGGAATAGGTTGTCTGGCCTCTCTGCCTAAAAAGCCGGCATGCAAAAGTATTAGAAGGCATACTCGGACAACATCGACGTCATCCATCCGAGTAAAACCATCTTTCTTATTCAATAATCTCGTCAGGTCTTCCACGTGTAGATTTGGCCTCTCCAGCTCAGGAAAAACCCGGGATAACCATGATGGGCGGGTAATGTGTCTAGTATACCGACCTACATCATCGTGTCCGAAGCGTAGACCGGTGATTAAGCAAAACTCCTCCCGCCCAAAACACGTATACGCCGGTGGAAAATCAAACCATAACTCTTCATCACGACGTTGTATAGTATCTGGTAGATCGCTAGTCATGGTTTGAAGAAACATGTGTGTCAACATCGCATCTCCACCGGGATGTTGTACTTTCAGCCATGGCCCGAAGCAAGTATCCTCAAACATTTTTCTTTATGCAGGTGAAAGCTTCGACGCAATTATTTTGGCCAGGCTGACTTTATTTCTTAAGGTCAATTGAGCCGAATAAAAGTTTTACAAAAACAATAAACATACTAAGTTAGATATACCAAAAACAATAATAAACATAAAGAGTAGTAGTTTATTCTTCAAACTTAAATTTGCAACACTGTGAATTTCGTATTTGTCTTTGTTTTTTGGTTGAAGTAATGCAATTCATTCAAGTTTCAATTTGCAGAAGAATAATAGTTTCTGAAAATGAAAATCGCAACACGAAAATGACTATCGCAACGCGAATTTGACTATCGCAACGAGAGAATCGCAACGCGAAACTAAAATCGCGTTGCGATTTTGTCGTTGCGATTTTCATTTCGCGTTGCGATTCTCGGTTGATTTAATAAGCAATCTAAGTGAAATGGTTAATCTATTATTGAAATTACCAGTAAACTTATCATCAATTTCAATATGAAAAACCTAATAATAATGCAAAAATTTCAAAAATAAAATAATTAAAAAAACTAACCCTCGGTGGTTGATTTGGTTGATTTTCCATTTCTGATTGTGAGGGTGGCTCTGAGAGATGGAGATAGACGGATTTCGTCGGAGATGGGGACGGATTTCGTCGGAGATGGGTGAGAGAGTGAGAGATGGAGATGGGACTGAGTTGCGATTACGGGATATACTATGGACGGTTCAGTATTCCAATATATTAATATTCGTGTTTGGAATTTGAAAATAAAATACGCGTTGCGATACTAATGGCGCTTTGAAAATCGCATTGCGATTATGTATTTTCTCGTTGCGAAAGTCAGTATCGCGTTGCGAAAGTAAGTATCGCGTTGCGAAAGTCAGTATCGCGTTGCGATTTACTTATTCGCATTGCGAATTGGGAAAATCGCAACGCGAAATTGAAAAATCGCATTGCGATAGTCATAATTGCGTTGCGAATCTGGAAACTAATTTGCGATAATGGAGATCGCGTTGCGAATTAGCGATCGCATTGCGATTTTGTTGGTCATTTTGGCAAATCCGAAAAAAATTAGTTAAAATCGTATATTATATGAGATTTTTGGTCACTGAGATTATTTTCTCTAATAAAAATAATAGGTCCAGCTCATTTTTTAAACGATGGTGACTTTTTATAGTATATTTTTCAAATTTAATATTTTAGTCCAATGTACAGGCAACCTCTAGACTACAATTAAAATCGATTTCTCCCTCCGCGTTTCATTTGGATTAATTTATGATTAATTTATTCAAATATTGGTGGAAATTGGAAGTCAAAATTGTTTAATATTATAACACCGAATTGCGATCCGTACACGGCTGCGCCGTTGCCGCTTCATTACATCTTTCCTCCTTTCCTCTTCCTCCACGCTTCCACATCCGAAATAAACTCCCCATAATTAATATTTTCTTTTTAAAAAAATAATTATATGATTTTAATTGTATTTAATAAGGATTACATTTTGGACTGCTCTTTTGTTTTCAAGGATAATAATAATAATAATACAAGTTTAAATCTTCAAATATATCCAATGTCTGAACTAATACGTAGTTGGCAACTAATTGTAAGCAATTTAGAATGGTAATATAAGTTTATTTTTTGCGAATATTTCTCTGTAAACGAGTTATGAAAGCTCATAGAGTTTGTATTGAGCATGAAGTGCGCCGCAAAAGAACTTCTGCATGTTGTCATGTTCACCATCTGAACACCCAATTTCTCTTTTCACTTACATATATAAGTACATACAAGGACGTCTTATTTTCCCCACACAGCTCCACCCTCTTCTTCTTCCAGTGTTCATTAGGGCAAACAAGATTCAAGTGGGAGAAAACAGTCAGATAAAACGATGAAACAGTCCATTCTGCTCCAGTTTTTACTTGGAATAGTTGTTTGCTTTGGTGTCTTCTTTTGCACCAATGCAGAAGATCCATATAGGTTTTATACTTGGGAAGTCACTTATGGAATTCGGGCTCCTCTTGGTGTACCCCAACAGGTTGATTTCTTTTCTTTCATTATTTTTGTTCAAGAATCTTAATAATGTTCATACACATATGTTCATATTTTCCTGTTAAAAATTTGCAGGTTATTCTTATTAATAATCAGTTTCCTGGACCTGCAATTGAAGCTGTGACCAATGACAACATAATTGTTAATGTCATCAATCAATTAGACGAACCCTTCCTCTTTACATGGTTAGTTGATGTTACTTGACTTGTGACGATGTTTTAGTTATGTGTGAAAGGTTGATAACCCTAGTTTTGTTTTTGGAAAATAGGCATGGAATAAAGCAAAGGAGAACGACATGGCAAGATGGTGTGCTAGGAACCAATTGCCCTATCCCTCCCCACACAAATTGGACATACAAATTCCAGTTGAAGGATCAAATTGGATCCTACATGTACTATCCTTCAACTTTAATGCATAGAGCCTCTGGTGGTTTTGGAGCTATCAACGTTAATCAAAGATCTGTGATTTCAATCCCATACCCTGAACCTGATGGGGATGTAACTCTCGTTGTTGGTGATTGGTACATCAATGGCTCCAAGGTATACCATTTTTCAACAGTATCATCTGCAGTGGCCCTCCAATCCAATTGTTCTAACCAATTACACATTGATTTTCAAACAGGCCCTACAGGAAAGGTTGGATTCAGGCTTGGATCTTCCTCTGCCAGATGGCCTTCTCATAAATGGTGCTATTAACTCTTACAGTTTCACTGGCCAGAAAGGTAAATTAGCCTTTTTTTTGCTTTGTTTGGGGGAAAACAGAGGATTGTGCTATACATGTATGCTGAATTTTGCTACTAAATTACAGGGAAAACATACAAAGTTAGGGTTACAAATGTGGGTATATCAACATCAATTAACTTCAGGATCCAGGGTCATCCGATGACACTTATTGAAGTTGAAGGAAGTCATAGTTTGCAGGAGGTGTATGAGTCCCTTGATATTCATCCCGGTCAATCTGTTGCTGTTTTGGTTACCTTACGTTGGTCGGTTAAGGACTACTTCATTGTGGCTTCAACACGTTTCACCAAGCCAATCCTCACCACTACCGGTATTCTTCGCTATATCGGTTCGAACACTCCAGCCTCCTTGCCATTGCCAGTCGGCCCAACGTACCACGTTCACTGGTCCATGAAACAAGCAAGAACCATCAGGTTGAACCTGACAGCAAATGCAGCTAGGCCTAATCCTCAAGGATCATTCCACTATGGGCAAATAAATATTATGAGGACACTTGTTTTGGCTAATGCAAAAGCCCAAATAAATGGCAAGTTGCGATATGCTGTGAACGGGATATCCTACGTGGATCCAACTACTCCATTGAAACTTGCAGACTGGTTTAACATCACTGGTGTCTTCTGCTTAAACAACATCAAGGATTCTCCTTCTCCAATTCCACAAGTCTTGGGTGTTTCGGTCTTCGGATTCACCCTCCATGACTTTGTTGAGATTGTTTTCCAAAACACTGAATCCATCACCCAGTCTTGGCATCTTGATGGCTCCAGCTTCTATGTTGTCGGGTATGCTTTGAATATAAACATATGTGTATGTATGTATGTGCAGTAGTTTAACATTTTACACGTTTCTTTAAAATTTCAGATATGGCGGTGGCAACTGGACAACTGGCTTAAGAAGACGATACAACCTGGTTGATGGAATACCTAGGCACACTGTTCAGGTTTATCCATTAGGCTGGACTGCAATTTTGGTTTCATTGGACAACAAAGGAATGTGGAATTTGAGGTCACAAAACTGGTCAAAGCGGTATTTAGGGCAACAAGTTTATCTTAGAGTTTGGAACGACGAGAAGAGCTTGTTTACTGAGGCCGACATCCCTGCAAATGCATTACTTTGTGGCAAGGCCCTTCAATTATAGAACACCATTAATATCATATTTATGTAATCTATTTTTTAAATTTCTTTTTTACCCCCTTCAATATCAGTCACGAGGGTGTGATTGTTAGGAAAAAGAAAAGTGGGGGACTTTGTTTCAATTATAGATTAAATTTAGTGTCCTAGCTATTGCTAGATTTTCTTTATTTCTATTAAATCACAATAACGAGTTCTTCTTTAGGAGTATGTAAATAACGTGGTGCATGCCACTTATATCCTTGAATGTCTCGATTTTCAATAATTTTTTATTAATATAATTTATCCTTTTTAAGAATGTTTGTAATTTTTTAAATTTAGTGTGACATTGTTTTTAGTTTTATAAATTATTTTTTTATTTATTTGATTTAAAAAATTAAAGTTCAATTGACCTATAAGTTTTAAATTAGATTTTTAAATATTATAATAGTGTTATAAACGAAGGAAATCTAGAATGAAAGTGTAGAGGAATTGAGAAGAATATAAAACGAAATCCTCATTGTTTTTTTTCCTTCACTTAAATTGCATATTTATAATATAAGTGTAGGAGATAAATGATAATGATAAAGCTTATATAATAAAAAATTAATACATGAAATAAAAAAATTATTTATCTAAATAATATATTATTTATTAATAAAAGTGCAATGTGATTTTGAGGGTTTCTCTCTCCTTTGACCTAAATATCCTCTCAATATTTTTGTGTCACTTTCTACATTCTTTTTTATTTTTATTTACCTGACGGAACAAATCTTAATATTAATTGTTAACCATCGATGATTATTATTTTTCTTATTATGTTCTTTATTTTTTTCTTGAGTTTTTTCAATTTTAATCATGTCCTTGTGACACGTCTTTCTCTATTTTTGTGAAACGTTTTTCTTCTGCTCTCGTGGAACGCTTTTTTTCTGCTATTGTGACACGTTTCTTATGGTTTTTGATACATTTTTCGCATACTTCTGCAGATGTGTTGATGCTCGCACAAAGATCCTCATGGCATTTATTTTCTGATTAGTTTGTCAATGGTCATGTATTGTCAAATTTTCTCTTTGATAAAATGTTGTTTGCCGATATAATCATAATTGTGTAGCAAATTAGCCTGCCAAATTGTTTGGTTCGTTCATGTCAACACACCTTTTCATCCGGGTACAACACTCTCAACAACCCTGATTTAATGGTATTCAGAAAACAAAAACATAGTGTTAGAGTTTTACTAGGATTCAAACTTGTAACATCTACAATATCGGGTTAGTGATCAAATTGTAAAGTTTCAGAATTTGGTAACTAAAGAAGAACAATGGATTAGTTCAATGATTTATTTGGAAATAAATCCTAAAAGTTGTTAGTAATTATTAGATGAATTAGAGGGCAAAGTGGTCATTTGAATTGGAAAGGATAAGATAATGATTTATATGGGATAAGCTTGAGAGATTTCACCAGAAACTCTCTTTTCTTCTTCTTCTTCTTCCTTTCCTCCCATGTCTCCATAGCAAAGGTAAGTTTTCTAATTAGTTGATTATTTGTTGAGTTTAAGTATGAGTTGTGATCATTAGAGGATAACTAAGTTTAAGGAAAGCTTAAGTTATCTTAAAATCAAAAGATAAAGGAGTTAGAGAAGATTAAAGATTTGGAGTTCTTGAGTGAAATCTTGAATAAAGTTTATAATAAGAATTGAAAGTTAAATTTGACTTGTCATCAATCTAGTTAAGACATATGAAGTGTTAGAAGTGGAATTAACACAAGTGAAATTAAGGTAATTCTTGAATTTCATATGAAGGATAGGATTTTGAGGTTTAAGATGAAATAAATTAGTACAGATTGGTTTAAGTGTGTATACTGGAGTTAAGAATGAAAAAGGGGATGAAAAATGAAGGATTTAAGCAAAAATGGATGAATTTTTGGGTTTAAAAAGAGGATTATGGGCAGAGTGCATCAATGCACATTCAATATGTATCGATGCATCAAGGTTAAATCCCAGAATTTGTTGAAGGTGCATCGATGCATAAGGAGTGCATCGATGCACTCATTTAAATTAAATGAACATCGAATGCAATGGATGCATCGATGCATAAGGAGTGCATCGATGCACCTGCTTAAAATACAAACATCGAATAGGATTTATGCACCGATGCATGGGTAGTGCATCGATGCACCCGTCAAGGGATGCATCGATACAAGGTGTAGTGTATCGATGCATACCTTTAATAAGAGATGGAAATAGTTTTCTTTTAGCCTAAGGATTTATAGTTTGAAATATATCAATTCGTACGTTGATAAGTATCAATGTATTACTATGTAGATTTAGAGCGTAATCTCATTCCAGAACAATCAAATGATTAGAATCAAATCAAAGAAAGGCTAAGGTGAGTGCAATTTAAATTGTACTTATGTATCAAATAAACATTGGCTTGCGATGAGCCAGTGATGAAGTTACTATAGTAAGAAGGGACTTCTAAAATGTTATTTGAATTGTGATTCTTATGTTTGCATGAGTACATGAAAATGGGTACATATGTTATATGTATTGCATCTGTTACATGAATTGAGTGAATAAATGTTAGTGTGATGTGTTATGTGAACTGGTTTAAGTAGTGGATGTAATTATATACATTATATAAAATAAATATGTGATTTAAGACATAAGTTAAAAAACTATATGATATGAGATAAGATAGACACATGCTATTATAAGTAACTATAGGATCACGAACTATGTAAAATAACAATGATTTATATGATAACAAGAGAAAAGATATGAATTACATGAGTTAGATATATATATATATATATATATATATATATATATATATATATATATATATATATATATAGGAATTTGTATAACCAACTTATGAGATTAGATGAACAGTGAGATAAGTTAAATAACATTGATTTATAGGACAATATAAGAATAATATATAAATGAGGAGACATTGACAGAAGTGATTATATGAACATGTAAAATAAGTTATATGGAGAGGATTTATGAGTTGAAATGAACATATAATACATGAGTCATATGGTAAAGATTTATGAAGCTATAGGAAAATGTTATGGGAACTATGTGATGATAAGTTATGAGAAAATATTTATATAGGTAACAAGCTATGTGAAATTGAATTAAGTAATATATGAAACTAGAATATAATTAATGCGAAATAAGTGATTAGGTAAAACTGTGAGAAGTTATAGGGCATTTTTATTCGAAGTATATGAAAGTATGTATATGGATACATGTATAAGTTTATATGTTATACTATGTGCTATATGATGTATATATGAACATATGTGAACAAGATATGACATGCGAGTTTACATGAACAAATTAGGAATGATATAAGCCATATGAAATGATCGACGTGAATATATGCACTTGTGATACATGTGATATGATACGAAATATATAGTTACACATACATGTGGTATGTGACAGAAGAGAAAGAACAAGTGATATGAAAGGTATAAATGATAATGCCCATGTTATATGATATGAGAACTAGTGGTATAGTTGGCATGCCAAGAGTCGATGGTATATTAGTCCTTCGGGACGTATCCAGTGGTCCTTCGGGACGTATCCAGTGGTCCTTCGGGACGTATCTAGTGGTCCTTCGGGACGTATCCAGTGGTCATTCGGGACGTATCTAGTGGTCTTTCGGGAAATAATAGTCATTCGGGACGAATACTGAACAAATGTTCAGTGCCCCATGAGGGAATTTATACGAGCTGTGGTGACAGCATTAGTGCACAACCTCAATGTACTCGCATACCTTAAGTTCTCACAGGTGTATATGGGCTAATAAAAAGACAATAACAAATTCAATACATATGATGCATATGCTTTTGGTGATATGGAATATGTTCCATGAATTATATGATATTATGTATGTTTAGTTGTGAAATGATAAATGTGTTATATGATATACAGAAAGGATAAATACAAGATCATATGATAAATAGAGATTTCGATAATGATGGTATATGTACATGTATGTATTTTGATATATAAAATGTACTATGATTTCTATTATATGTTTTATATGCCTCACTAAGTCAACGACTTAGCGTGTGATTGTTTCACACGTAGGTACCAAGAAGATGAAGAATAAAAAAAAGTTAAGCAAGACAGGTGAATTCGTCCTTTCCAAAGATCATATCAGAAAAGCATTGTATAATATGTATTTTATAATATGGATGGTAGTTGGCATGTAAATAAAGATTTGAATTTGATATACTCTAATTAGTTTTTCTAAAATCATATGAATATCTTTTATGTAATATAGTCAGTTGTTTTAATAAAAGCTTTAAAATTATTCACTAGTTTGTACAAGTACCGGTTTTGAAAAGTCAATGTGACACCTCGGATTCTTATTCGGGTCAGGTACGGGTTGGGGGTGTTACATTTAATAGTATCAGAGCTACGGTTTAGCCGATTCTATGCTAAAAATGAAGTCAAAAGTGTTTTAAAAAGTATACATGCTAACACAAAGTGAAAAAAATTCTGATCTGATAGTGTAAGGAGTATAATGTCTTGTTAATAGAGTTAAATTGTTATGTTATATTAGATGTATGATTATGATAACTTCCAAAGTGAAATACAAGGCAATAGACTGAAGGTAATAGCATTCACCTGCCCTGGCCAGGCAGGGAGAGGGACAAACACCTCAGGAAGTGCTTGTATAAAATTTGGAAATGTATTCATCATGTTGAAGAATGTTCTGATGTGTTTTCCATTTATACTTCTTTAACTCATAAAATGAATGTATCAAATTAGTTAAAAGATTTACAAGCACCCGAGTTCAAGGGTGAATTTGAAAAATGATCTATTGTTATAGACATTTGATTAATGATAGGAAGATAATGTTAGAAGGTTTCTATTTCTCCAAATTGGAGAAGTTAAATTGAGTAGTTTAGTTACTACGTAGACAAGCTAGAGTATGGTGGACAAATATCACCAAGAGAATGTTGAAAGACTCAATGATGTGGGTATTATTTGTAGAAGAATTCAAGAATAAGTACAGGGATGACATGTCCATAAGATAAATCA